AAAACACACCAAAATAAAGAGAAATTGATTGGAAAAAAAAAAAAAAAAAAGAGAGAGAGAGAGAGAGAAATTGATTGGTAGTTGCCTTAGCAGTTGCGTTGTTGGAAGTGGTCAGTAGTACCTTGGATGGTCTTGGAGAAACGGCACAAGATGATGTCCAGCCTTGCCTTTTGATGTCTTCAGAGTTGAAGTTACTGGCATTTCAGTCTTCGACGAGGAGGAGGCTAGCCCCCAGAGGGCCATCTGATGATGATCAGCTACCCTGAGAGCCGCTGCTTCATCGTTGGCACCGCCTCCATTTCCCAATCTCTCATTCTTCCTTTTCCTCACAATGTATCGCCACCTCTGTGCGTATGGTGCGACTCTCGCCAACTCGGCTGCAGACATCAGAGCTTGCCGCTCCACTGCAGCTTGCACGCGAATTGCGTGGCGGCGCAGGCCTACCTGAATGAGTCTAGCCGCTGCCCATCTGCGCAATCTCCCCTTGTATGCATTCATTGCATCATCTGTTCTTCTCCTCTTCTCTCTTCTTGTTCCGAGCCACCATCTCCAGCCTCGAAGCCCCCTCGCTTGTACCTTCATCCTCCACCGGCAGTCGGCCATCAGGCGCAGCCGTCTCTTCGCTGTACACATTCTGTTTGTTCGCCGCCATGCCGCCCATGCCCTTCCTGTTAGATACCGCTCGTACGCTGCGACAGCATGCGCATCCATTGCCGCCCGTACTCGTTTGTTCGCCACCCTCTCGTTCCACCCCTGCAGAACAGTCTTCTGCACCTTCGCCACCCAATGCCCTTGCGCACTTGCATCCTTGTACCGCTTCACAGAACGTGCGCGGCAATACTCGATCCAACTTGCAAATGCGTGCTTTGCTCTCAGAGCACCCAATTCCTTCCTCGCCTCCACGACCTTCTTAGCCTCCTCCAACTTCTTGTCTTTCTTTGCAGCTGCCCATCGTGCCCACACCGACAAACACGCCCCTGCCGTCTTCTTCTCCCAATGATCTTGCGCACACTTCAGCTTCGCCTTGCGCAGTGCACGCCTCTCCGCTTCCTCTGCCCATCCTATCAGAACCAAACGCCGACAACGTGATTCCTGCCAGTTCATTGCCCATTCTCTCTGCGCCTGCTTCTCCTTGAGCAAAGGCACACCGTCCCGCCAGCCTCGGAAGGACCGCTTCTTCAACCTGCAATCGTAGGCTGCGGAACCTGCGTCTTCTCTCGCGTGCTTCTTATACCGTTTGCGAACAAACGCTTGCCAGTTATGCATGCATGCTGACAACCGATGCAAGTAACGGTGCCGCACAGCGAGACGCCGATTAGACTCCTTCATGTCCCGATACTGAGCGTACTGATGCCAACAAAAAACAGCTCTCCTCATCGCATACTCTCTCCTCCATCGACAACCTCGAGCCTGGAACATTTTACACACAGCAAAAGCACATGCAGACATATATCACTGCGCCTACCCCCCAAAAGATCTAGGGTGCATTCAACTGCATTGTTTCACTTTTTCAGACCAGGTTCATAATAAATCCATAAGTCCAAAAGAAGTTAGGACCCCAGGACCATTACACACACCTGGATGGCTGAACATGATGGATGCTCTTGGGTCCTGAACCCTTTCACACAAATTGGATCACAGAACCCTTTCACACAGATGGGTGGTTGAACATCCTCAAATAGGAGTCCAGGACCCCTTCAGGAAAAAAAAAAAAAAAAAAAAAAAACAGAACGAGACTGAAGACCCTTTCACGGAAATGGATGGCTGAACATCCTCAAACAAGGGTCCAGGACCCCTATGAAAAGAAGCACAGTATGGAGTCTATGGACCCATCAGGAAGAAAGAAGCACAGTTTGCGGGCGGGAATCGGACTTTGACAGACAGGTACACAGCGAGCCCTACTGCGGGCCTGGGCTCTTATCCCGTCAGGCAGTAGGAACTCCTCCAGCTGATGTTTCAACCAACAAACCAACCAACCAAAAAAAAAAAAAAAAGGCAGGTAGGACTGGGGACTCCTGCTACCTTAAAAATTCATTCTATCTATTTGAGGAGTTTCCCGTGGCACTGGCCCTCGTTCCTTGTGGATTTCTGTCTCTCTTGGGTATTTTGATGCGACGCTGGGCACAGTTTCCAGCACGAGTAACTTGATGGGCCCGCTTCCCAGCACGTGCTGCTCCCCACGAATGGATTGGAGCTTGTGTTTGTTTGTCTGTATGTTTGTTTAAAACAAAGAGAAAAAAAGGCAAAAAAAAAAAAAAGCACAGTGACCAACGGGCCTAGCTCCTTTTTTTTTTTTTTTTTTTTTTTTTTTTTCGAAAACCCCAGCCCTGGTCTGCTAGAGGGAGTGAGATAAGCAGTGTTTTAGTGGGGACCAGCAGCTGCTGGAAACCGGGTCGAGCGTCCCCTATATCAACATTAACATTGAGTTTCCGCCCCGGGGCCATTATGCCCGGTTTCGGCCAGAAGAAAACAGATAGCTCAGTTGGTACACCCATGAACTGTTGAGTTTAAATGCAGATGGAACTTCTTTTTTTTTTTAACTTTAGAATGGTGGGACGAGGCCCACAAAGAAGATTATATAGTCCAGGAAACGGGCCCGGCATCCCTTACATATGTACAGTCCACTTCCCAATTAGAGCAAGGCATCACCGGCCAAGCCCATATCAGGAGTCGCAGAATCCCACCAAATGAGAAACCTAAACAACTGAGGAATCTTCAAAACCAAACTGTAACCTATACTTCTAACACATTCTATTCTCAGACCATTCTCAGATTGTATACCTGTTTTGTTTTCAAAAACTTCGAGGCAAAAGAATTAGTGTAAACAAAGACATACATTCTATTCTCATATAGCATATAGGCTAAGACCTTTATCCTAAGATAACTATAGTCAGTGCATCAAAACAATTTGTCATGCGATGAAGAAAGCTGAGAATTCAAGCTGTGGATAAGTGCCTTGAGGCAGCTGTACTCTGCGCAAGTCTGGGAATCTATCCCAGTGCTGGAGAAAAATCTTCAGTGCCTTGGATGTATAGCCTTTTTTTTGGACTTTCAGAGACCACTCTGTTGAGATGGTCTGTTTGATGACAAATTTTACCTCAGCTCTTATCATCGCCGGAGTCAGTCTTTCTCCCCTATGGATCGCAGAGTTCCTGAGTGTCCATAGTGTCCAAAGTACAGACCCTCGAAGGGTCTCTTCCGGGAAGGTCAGTGGTCCATTAGGTTCATGGCGTCGCGTGGCCGCCCCTAAAAGGATGAACTCATCAGACCATCTGTCTGTCGGGCCAGGAACTGGGACTGACCCTGATCTCCACCATTCCCAAAAGGGTCGGTAAAGCTCACAATGTAGCAGCATGTGTTGTAAGTCCTCAATTCTCGTTCCGCGGCACTGACTGCAAAAAGGTGCGGCTTTTGCCGTTCGACGAGCACACCAAGAGGCAGTTGGCACTGCCAGGTGTGCTATGAGCCACAAGTGACTCGCTTGTTTGACTACCGGAAGATCCAACAACACTCTCCAATACCTCGAGAGACCTTGTGCCAATCTCGGCAGCGTATCCTGTGTCCATCCTGTTGCCATCCATCTGCTTGCTACAGTCCAGTTGACATCAGTCCGAGGTCTCATAAGGTTGTAGGCCAACTTTGTGGTATACTGATAAAGAAAAACCGGTTGGTGATTCCGGGGGTCCAACATCGAACCTCAGTCCCTAGGATCCACTGGCAGTGCATATGATGGCTGTGACAGATAAAAGGGGCGATTCCCCTTCGGAGACTCCAACACACAAGTAGATGCATGAAAGCTGTGTAGCATCGTGTTTTTTGCGTTCGGTGACCAAACCCGAACGTTCACGACTGGCGCCAAAACCCTCCAAACGCGAACATAAAAATATATATTGAAAAAAAGTTTCCAGAGAAATGATCAGAAATCTGAAAAAAAAAGAAGTGTTATGTAAAATAATAATACAAATAAGCTGAGTGGGTATCCGGGCCGCCCGGGTGACCGGCAGGGGCCCGGGGGAGGTCCCGGGCGGCCTGGCCGGGCGGGGCACCCGGTTGGGGGCCGGGCCCTCCCAGTGCACTT